GGATCTTTCCCCTTTAAAAAGGTTTGTAGAAGTTTAAAAATTAAGGCTTTGCATTAATTGTTTTGTTAGTAATCATAAACTTTCTAATTGTTTTTCGAAAGTTTGTTGTCAATTTTGTAACTGTAACATCACGATTTACTTCATAGATATAATCCTCGCCCACTTGAGACAATTAAATTAAGTTCAGATATGCCAAAACAATGCCCCACCCTCGCACCAAATTTATTGAGTAATATTTCTGAAGCCGGTGAAATTGCTGACTCGGAAAAATCGAAAGAGAGTAGCGTTTCCCACGCATTCTCAACTCGTAGTCTAAATAGTAATAAATTAGTTCTTCTATCTACTGCTTAATTAACATCTGGAGATCTCTTAAAAATAAATATGTTTTAATTAGAGCATTGTTTTACAATGGCAGCCAATCGAATTATTTAAATTCTGATACTTGTTTTGATTTGGAGTTGAAACGAGAAAAAATAAACATCTCTGTCAGTGGATTGGAAGAGAATAAAATGAATGTTAAGTGGAAGGCGACTTCTTTGATTTGTAATTAGAAATTATCTTTTCCTTTGAAGGTTGAATTAATAGTAGTTCCTAGAATTACGGGCTTGATTCCATCGACTCCTATTAAAATTAGTGAGCATTTAATTCCTGATCGTGCGTTAGTAACTGATCCAAATTTTGAGATACCGAGTAAAATAAACATGATTATAGGAGCTGAGCTCTTTTATGGTATTATAAGGGAAGGAAAAACCAGAGTTTCTCCTAATTTGTTATTTCAAAATTTTGCTTTCAGTTTGATAGCAACAGGTAAGGTTCATGAGAACAATTTAAATTCCTTTCGTGGTTTAACACATACCTCTGAAAATAATTGAAGATTCTCTTCAGAAACTTTGGGAAATCGAAAGTGTTTTGTCAGATATGCTTACTGGTGAAGAAGAATATTGTGAAAACCATTTTTTAAGAACTCATTATCGCAACGAATGTGGTAGATACGTGGTTCAAATGCCACTCAAAAAGGATCCCCAATGTTTAGGTGATTCAAAGAAACTAACTTTAAAGAGATTGAATAATATATATAGAAAGTTAGACTCTAATCCTGAACTTTGTAACTTATATAAAGACTTAATGCTTGAATATCAAAATTCAGCACATATGCAATTAGTTGACTCCGATATTAATGTAAACGCTAGTTATTATATTCCCCATCTTGGCGTACATCGCCCTGACAAAACTACCACAAAGTTGCGTGTCGTTTTTGTGGTCGAGTGGTGAATCACTTAACTCTATACAAATGAAGGGAGGTGTGCTTCAGGATGATTTATTTTCAATTATGTGCAGATATAGGAAACATCCTGTAGCCTTTACGGCTGATATTAAAGGTATGTTTCGCACTGCCTTAATTGATGAAAATCAACGAGACTTACAAAGAATATTGTGGAAATTGAATAAAGATGATGAAGCTAAAATTTTCAAGCTCTGTACTGTTACCTATGGTACTACCTCTGCTCCATTTTTGGCAAAGCGTGTCTTAAGACAAATTTCGATTGATGAAGGGAAGGATTTTCCCATTGCAGCTCGTGTCGTCCAAAATGATCGTTGTATGGACGATGTAGTCTCGGGGCTAATGATATTTCTTCTGCCTTAGAGTTAAAGAATCAATTAATAAACCTTCTTCATCGGGGTGGCATGGATTTACACAAATGGTCATCTAATGAACTGTCCTTGTTAAAAAACTTACCGTATGAAGACCAAGAGTACCATTTCGATATTAAATACAACGTTAAGACTCTCGGTGTGATACGGAACCCAAATGCAGATTTGTTTGAATTTTCAATTTCAGATTGCACTCATCTGGCGAATTGTACTAAAAGAACAGTTTTAGCGTGCATTTCAAGACTGTTTGATCCTCTAGGCCTCTTGGGGCCGGTGATAGTGAAGGCCAAAATTTTTATGCAAAAGCTCTGGCTATAAAAACTCGACTGGGACCAGTCACTGCCAGACTGCAAGGTTAAGGGGTGGGAGAAGTATGCTTCCTCTCTTCTCTGTGTGAAAGACATTAAAGTTGACCGCTGTGTAGCGAATGGAACTGTTACCTCCTTTTAAATCCATGGCTTCTTCGCAAGGAGCATACGGTGCAGCGATTTATTTACGATGTAAGAATGAATTGAATAAAGTGACTAGTAACTTACTGTACAGCAAGTCACGCATAGCGCCGATAAAAAAGTTGACGATTCCTCGTTTAGAATTATTGGCGGCTGAACTAATGTCCAAACTTCTACAAAAACTGTTAAGAGCTCTTCAAATGGATATACCGAATGTCTACTAGTGGTCGGATTCAATCATAACTTTGGCGTGGATACGAACTGATCCATGTTTGTTGAAAACTTTCGTATCGAATAGAGTGACCAAGATTCAAGAAATCCCTAGATTATTTAAATAGGGACATGTGCCTTCTGAAAGCAACCCTGTTGACCTTATTTCGCGTGGTGTTACTGCAGACAAAATCGCAAACTCTGAGCTTTGGTGGCATGGCGCTTCTTTTTTAAAGACTGAGGACTATAAGCAATTCGAACATTCTCCTTCTTCCAGCTATGAATATATGGCTGAACTCAAGATAAATTCTGATCTTAATTTTACTGTCTTTGAGAAAAACACTTTTATAATTGATATTTTGAACAAAAGCAATAGTTATATGAAACTAATCAGAATCTTAGGTTTTGTTTTCAGGTTTGTAGGAAATGCAAACATCTCAACAAGGAAACCTACGGGACCGATTTCGACGGATGAGTTAAAATTATCCGAATTGTTTTTTATTAGAGAAGTGCAGAGGGATGAATTTTCTTCTTATATTGCAGATATTCAGAAGGGTACAATTTCTTCTAAGAGTAAGATTAAATCATTTAACGCCATTTTAGATGCAAATGGAATATTGAGGTTGAGTGGTCGCTTGGCCCACTCGCAGGTAAGCTTCGATGCTAAGTTTCCCATTATTTTGCCTGCAGGACATAAGCTTACATACTTAATTATGTTGTATCTCCATTTAAAAGATTTGCATCTTGGTCCCCAGGCATTACTTAATTCTGTTCGCCAAAGGTTTTGGCCAATTCACGGAAGAAATCTTGCCAGAAAAATAGTGCACGAGTGTGTTACTTGTTTTAAATTTAGACCTGTAGCTATTGATCAATTATTGGGTAACCTTCCATCTTATCGATTAAGTCCTGAGTTCACCTTTAATAAATCAGGCTTAGATTTCTGCGGCCCGTTTTTTGTCAAGCAAAAGAATCAAACAAAAGTAAGTCTTCAAAAAATATATGTAGCAGTTTTTGTGTGCCTTTGCACACGGGCAGTACATTTGGAAATTGTCTCGGACTTAACAGATGAGGCCTTGATTGCCACATTAAAAAGGTTTTTTGCATGAAGGGGAAAATGTTCTATGTTAATGAGTGATAATGCGAGTAATTTTTGTGGAGCTCAGAACGAGTTAAAACGGTTATATAGTTTGTCTCAATCCCCGGAACAAGAATTAATTGATTATCTGTTAATCAATTAATTCTTGTTCCGACTGAAGAGGTTACTGGGAAATTCATACCGCAACGGGCCCCTTCATTTCGGGGGCATTTGGGAAGCAGCAGTGAAATCCTTTTAAACCCGCTTTAAAAAGATTGGAATTTCAAAGCTAACCTTTGAGGAATTTTTGACCCTTGTTACGGAGATAGAGGGAATTTTGAACTCTAAAACAATTACCCCATTATCTACAAATGCAAATGATATGAACGCTCTGATGCCGGGTCATTTTTTAATAGGGCGTCCAATAACTGCTCCCATAGAGCCCGAAATCACTCAAATTCCAAATAACAGATCGTCTGGATTGGAAAGAGTTACAAAATTGACTCAAAATATTTGGAAAAGGTGGCAAAGAGACTTCTTGTCTAATTTACACGAACGTACTAAGTGGGAATTTTCGAAGGACAATGTTACCCCTGGTACAATGGTTCTAGTTAGGGAAGATAATCTTCCAGTTTGTCTTTGGATAATTGGTAGAGTTGAAGAAACTATAGCTGGCAAAGATGAAACGGTTAGGGTTGTTTTAGAGCGAACTCCTAATGGTTTATTTAAAAGACCAATTCATAAATTGAGTATTTTACCCATTGAGGACAATAAATAGTTTGGTAATAGTTGTAATCTCATTGAATTAATTTTAGTTTATATTTGTATTGTATCATTGTATTTTAATAATTTCCGTTAAATTTGGAATTGTGCATTCATTTAATATTGAAACAAATATTTTTCTACAATCCATAATTTTATTCTATTAATTGAAATCAAATATTTCTAATAATTTTATTGTGATTCTTGTAGTTTCAATGCATATTAGTCATTGTTGAAATATGTTAAATATTTCAAGGGGCCGGCATGTTCGGTCTTAAGTGAAACGCCATCTGTCGTAATTATTTCGAACTAGTCAGTTGCTCTTGAACTCTTATTTGAGCCAGTCGTGACTACCATTGCAATAGTGTAAAGAGTTTGATTTGATTATTTATTATTGTTAAATAAAGTATTGTTTGTTAAACTTCTAGTATTCAATGAACCAGCGCATTGTGTACAATCGAGTACAGCATTGAAGGAGCGTCTATTCATTTTTAGTGTCAATTGGCTTTTGGAAGGTTAAAAGCTTTGTGGGATTGTAGTCCTACGATCTAAATAAGTGTCCAAGATATATTCCATTTGCTTTGATGATCTTTACTAAGTGCGGTTGTCTATATCGCTTATATTTTCCATGACGGTGAAGAATTTCCCAATGATCGTTTTCTTTATTAGAACTAACATCACATGCATTTTTGCTGCGGTATTGTTGTTAATGGATCGAACGCAACTTAGTTAACTTGTGAAAATTGTCCCTAAAACAAGTAAGAAAATTAAAAGTTTATTTGTTTAAGCTTAAATTTTTGTTCACGTCATTTATACGGCCCAAAACAATATTTTTCCCCACTGTTTTGCAGCGATGCCCGAAACAGTCATTGAGGCTTTGGTGGATGGTAGTGCCAAAATGCCGTGTGATGTTTTACAAAGACGAGACGACAGTGTGGAATTTATTTTCTGGTACAAGAATGATGGCGTCACAGCACTTTATACTCTGGATGCACGTGACAGAAAGTTAATTGACGCCTATCACATGAAGAACGAGACGTATAGTGACAGAGTCCAATTTCACGTGGATGGAAATGATCTCTACTTGGAGATGGACAAATTAAAAGAAGAGGACACGGGTTCATATTTCTGCAGAGTAGACTACCAGTGGTCTGCTACAGAACTCAAGAAAGTTAGCCTAATAGTAGTTGGTAAGTAAAATGTTTATTTAAATCTTTTTCATGATGCTTAAAATTTAAAAGTGAATAAAGTTCGCCCATTTGGAACATTGCTCTGAAGAATGTTGCTTCAAATTAGACCAGAATATCGAACAAGTTTGTTACATTTTTAGTAAGATGTTAAGAAGAATGGTATTACAATGCAAATATTTTGAGAACATGATCTTCACATAAAATTTTTGCATATTTAAATGAATACTAAAATAGAGTGCAATCATTATATCTATTAAGCATACACATGCACACACATATAAAAGAGAAAGAGAGAGAGAGATTCTTTGCTTTATTATATTTCACAATTTTTGTCTTCTTTTGTGTGTTTGTTAGTACCCCCCAAAAAAGTGATAATCCGTGATGACTCAGATCAAGAAGTGAGTGATGTTGCTGGGCCTTACAAGGAAAAATCAGATGTTTCTTTGTTGTGCGAAGCTCAAAAAGGTATTAGACTTTTTATACTCATGAATCACTTAAAAAAATTATTGTAAACATATATTTTATCTTTTTTTGACAAAAATAACGCCTGAAAACCTTCTTTAAGTGATTTATTTCAAAATTGTCGTAGTTACAAAAGTTGCATGAATATATTTTTTAATCACAGGGACTTTTTTTTTCTGATAGTAGGAAATGTTTACTCATATTTCTATAATATATTAACTTCATTCAAAACAGAAATAACGAAAGTAGCATTTTCAGGATTTATTTTTTATTGATAAATGTATAAAAAATTTGCTCAAAAAATTGTTTGCTAATAAACACTCATATATAATGTACTCATAATTTTATATAGAAATTGTATAATTTTTTTAAATATCATGTGTTAATAAAATATCAATTGTTTCAATTTATTTTCTCTCTAATTAATTATTAATGTTTTTTTTTCCTGGAAATCGTTAAATATTTAAAAACCTGGATTTTTGTTAGAAGAAATTGAAATTATTTGTGAGACATCATGATAATTTTGTATTACCAAATTTATAATAAAGCTCAAAAATATTAGGCAAAAGAAGTTTTTTCATGGAATTAGTAATTTTAAGCTTATTTTCAATATAAAATACCTTAATGAATTAACTTGGATAAATATTTTGAAAAATTTGGCTTAAAAAACTGCAATTAATTATTAATATAATCGTAAACGTTATTTTAAAATTAAATAAAGAGCTTCAAAATAATGATAAAGACAAAATGAATTCATAAAATTCGATACATAATTATTTAATTAATCAAATGCTAAAAGGCGTAAATGAAAATAAATGTATCTCTTTGTGTGATTTATTTTCTCTCATTTGTCTCTAAAGTAATTTATATTATATTTCTTTTCTGCGAGGATAAAATTAACTCGTTCAAGCTGTTCATATATCTTTCAGTTTGTTTCCCTATTCTATCGTTGCTTAAATTCCTGATTAATTGAAAAACGTCATTTCAAAATATTAATTTAGTTGACAGTGTGATTCAGATAAAAGTTTTCATTTAAACGAAATTGAGTGTTGCAGTTACTTTAAGTCACCCTAAAGTTTTCTTTTAAATTTGAGTAATTGGCAGCATAAATAAAAATACGATATTTTTAGTACATTTTAATTTAATGCATATATGTTGAGTACTAAAATATTATTGTTATAGTCTAAACGTTATTATTTCGCTAGGTTTCAGTCTCAGTATCGTTTTAACCATTTCTAAAAAAAGCATTATTTTCCAAGAAAATTTTCTTCAATTGTAATTTAAAAAAAGAGACTATATTTGTTAAACACATGGGACACGTGTTGGAAAAATTACGTGTCTTTTACCCACCGTTTGAAAACAAAATTAGCAAAGATTTTTTTTTTTTTTTTCAAAAATGGAGAAGAAATTTAAGGAAAAAAAGATTTATGAAAAAGGACTTTATTTTCCATGAAATTTGCACATTTCTAAGAACTGTGTGAAAAAAATCAAAAATAATTTCTGATTTCTTTTCATCAACTTCTATGAAAATATTTTTATTTTCCCTTGAATTCGATTCGTTTGCATGAAAACTTCCAACATATATAAACACGCTCCTTAAATCGTTTATACTCTATTAGTTTATAATAATTGCTTAGTTATTTTATTTCGTACTTAATTTATTTCGATTGAAAACTTCCAGCATATATCAACGCGATTTTTAAAACTTTTAATACTCAAATTTCAATGTTTTTTTCCACTTTTTTTAATAACATAGTACATTATAGTCATATCTACATATCTATTCTGCCGTGTCATTGAAAAAGCAACACAAGTGCTTCATGTTAGATTTCGGAAAAAGTGGCATAGCAACTATTGTCTTTTTAATGCTGATGCTAAAATGTAATGAACATCTATAATAATATGTAATATGTAATAATAATATTATAATACTAATACAATGTAATAATATAACAGTATTATAACAGTATTATAACATTATATAATAATATAACAAATTAATATAAAATGAAAGCTAAAATATAATTTCAAAAAACTGATAGAGCAAAATGCAGTATGAGGCATGGTTTAATACAATGAGAGAAATAGTATAGTCAAAATTAGCTGAAAATGGTAAATTTTGTCGTGTTTCTGGCTCCATGGAAACACCAAGAAGCGCGGTAATTTCAACCAACGCACATTGGTAATGATTTTAATAAAATTGATAATAAAACATAGCTGTTATAATATGTGATTAAATTTGATTAATCTCGCAAAATTTGGTAATTTCATCACATATCTTAGAGCATGGCATAAAAATAAATTTATTCGGTTAAATTTGCTTTTCAGTTTTGTTATTTTTACTGAATGCGTGGTAATAAGAACAATATTTCTGAAAAAAAGATTTTTTTAAAAAACAGAACATTAACATTATTAAACAGAACATTTAAACAGAAAGTAAAAAATTTTTAAATGTAATGCTTTAAACCCCACATATTTTGGTTTTTATTTCCATACTTATACAGATACATTTTTTAGCAAGAAATGTGATTACCATACAATGCAGAAATTTTACTAGAATTATTTTCGAAGAGTAGAAAAAAATAAGTAACCGTTATATAATAATTTATAATCCCATTGAAATAATTGATAAAGTTATAGTCTGCTTTTCACCCATGTATATTTTTAAATAGGTTATCCATCACCCAATGTGACATGGTGGAAAGATAACAAGTTGTGGGATAACACTTTTAAGAAAGTATCTGGTAATGTGATAAATGAAATGAGACTGACAAATATTAGTAGAGCAGATCTTTTTGCTACTTTCCATTGTAAGGTTCAAAATACAAAATTAGACCTTCCAATTACAAGAACAATAATTTTAGATTTATACTGTAAGTATAAATTGTATTCATTTTAAATAAAAATTTTAATTTATCGATTGCTTTTTAATGCTGGAATTTTATTTATGCATTGAATTTATATTAAATAGATCATAAACTGTATTGAACTAAAGCTGATAATTTATGTTATAATCCGACAGTTTAAACTACTTCAAGCCAATTAAAAAGTAGGGTAGTTTATTTTTACATGTGTCTTTTAATATGTTTTAAAATTTTCTTTAATCTAAATTAAAATAGTTAAAAAATTTATTGAATTTTTAAATTATAAATTTCCGTTATATATTATACTTGTTGTTAATAGCTCAAAACTCAGTAAATTTATGACATCTATCTTTATAACCTATTAAACCAAATAAAATAGACATTTCAATTTCACGTTGTTTCCATACAAATATTTTAACATTTCCAAAAAATGATTTTTCAACTGTTTTTTTTTTCAAATTTATTTTTATAATTTTTATTTTAATGTTCGTTTCTTTTTATCTTTCATAAAGTAAATCATAAATTAGAAACATTTAAGGATATTAAAATTATACCAACAAATGTTTGATTTTTTTTTTAACAAAAACACTAACAAATATAAATGTTTAATATTTTAATTGTAAAACAAAAGTATGTATTTCCATTCCTAATTCTTGCAGATATATTTGTTTACTTTTTGGCAGTAATTAAGAAAAAAATAAATGAACACGAATTTTTCCCTTTATATTTTTAAGTGTATCCCTTAACTGTGAAGATAACAAGCAAAGTATCAGCACTTTCAGCAGGACGTGTGGTCGAGATGAGTTGTGAAACAATAGGGTCTCGTCCTTCAGCCAAAGTCACGTGGTGGCTAAATGGAACTCTTCTATCGGATCATATTGAAACCGTCCATGACAACGTCACTTCTTCTGTCCTACGCATTCATCCCAAACTCCAATACCACAAATCCCCTCTCGTCTGCAGAGCAGAAAATCCCAAACTATATCACAGTCATGTAGAGAACATAAGATTGCTCAATATTACGTGTAGGTAGGCGTTACTTATTTCTTTTGTTGAAAATGACCATATTTCTAATTGTATCATAGAGTTGCTAGAAAAGGAAAGTTGAACCAGAGGATATAAACTTGTTCAATATTACATGTAGGTAGGAATTACTTGTTTCGTTAGTTGAAAGTTATCATATTTCTAACTGTATCATAGAGTTGCTATCAAAAGGAAATTGAACTAGAGGATATGAACTTTCTCAGCTCAATAATGCGTGCAGGTAGGTGCTACTTGTTTCGTAAGATGAATATTTTAAGATGAATATTATAGATGAATATTATTAATATTATTACTTCTAATTGTATCATAGAATTGCTAAAAAAAGAAAGTTGAACCAGAGGATATAAACTTGTTCAATATTACACGTAGGTAGGCGTTACTTATTTCCTTAGTTGAAAATGACCATATTTCTAATTGTATCATAGAATTTCTAAAAATGAAATTGACCCAGTATGGAATCCCATGTTGACTGGTCAATTCGTACAATGCTCGTTACTCACAAGGGCTGTGTTGACGTAAAATAAATCCAGTGTTACAGTTTCTTTAATCTTAAACGTATTAAAGTATCATGGGTGCCTCAGAGCTAGCTGTAGGAAGTTTTTGTGGTTTTCTTCTCCGTGTAATGAAAACATGAATTATTTTTCTTTATGTCGTTATTGCTTAAAGCAGGAAATCTCACGTTTTTTGTATTGGGATTTAAATTATAAGCTACGTATTAATACTTGAATTTTGGATGCAGATCAGATTTACATTAAAAAACATTCCGGATTAAATTACGGTAAAGAGTACCGCATTTAGGGTACTAGTACTTTTTACCTCATATTAAATTTTTACTGGAACATATTGTGAAACTTATGATCTGGTGTACCAAAATGTTTGCAGTAATAATTATAATTAAATCACTGAATCATTCTAAATAAATACAGTAAATATTACGGTATAATATTTTCCTGAAAACGGGGAAATGGATGATGAGCAGAACGTGTTAGTATTTTACACCATAGATTGATCCGGATATTTTTACAGTGTAAATATCCTGCTCAGCATCAGAGATCATACTGACCAAAACAAATTTGGTATTTAAAATATCTGGTTATCACTGATAATAAATACTTATTTATAATAACAGCCATTGGTAATTAGTATTACACTGATAGTCCTATAAGTGGCTTGAAATATCTGAGCATAATTGTATGAAATAAAAATAATTTGCTTACAGATTCTAAAACATAATTAAGGATGACGAGAACCAGAAATTTATTTATTTATTTTAAATAAAACTGCGTTCACAGTCTTTGAGGCCAGTGTAATGATATCTGAATTCCTCACACGACTTTGTTTTTTTAGAAAATACCAAAATAAATAGAGATATCTCCAAAATTTAAAATTGAAGTAAGTTATTCTCTTTATTAAGTTTTAATTTTCAATTTTCGTTTTTTTTTATATATATAACTATAGGTTTAAAGAAAACAATAATGTCGACGTAAGAAAAATACATTATAATTATTAGTTTTTTTTTGTCAACAGGAAAAAAAAAGCTTTTATACTTATTTTATTTAATTTTTCTGTACTTTTGCTGTACTCTGTTAAACATTATTATTTTTTTTAACCTGATTGACTTATTTACCTTTCTAATAACTCTAATAAACTTTAATGCCAATAATGGATTTGTAATTTTCAAATGAACACGCTTTGAATTTATTGTAGAGTCCTAAAAATACGTGTCGTAAAGTTTTCTCCTACGGGTCGTAGTTTATCTTCTGGTAATTTACTAATTTCTTGTAAAACTATATTTTTAATTTCCGAAATTTAAAGAAGTTTAACACAAATTCTTGTTACCAAGATTTGCGTATGTTAAGTGAAAATACGAAAGAACCATTTAGTTCAAAGTCTGACTAATGAGGTGGCAGTTATTGTACTGCAGAAAGTCAGAAAAATGTACCATTGCTCATTCTTGAGTGTTTATTTCTCCTTTTACTTGAATAGATATGTTTTGTGAGCAAGAAAACATAACCTATTCCAAAATACTTTGCGATAAAAATGCTTTCTTTTAAACTTTTTCTTGATTATTTTTTGCTACTATACATTTAAAAGAATTAGATGATTTAACTCAAAAAAATGAATGCAATTAGTGAAGTCATATAATTCTGTGCAGCTCATTTTTTAAAAAGCTGCTAACTCGTCATATTATCTTTAGAAGGAGTGAATAAAATTGTTTCACTTATTCCCGTAAATATGCATTTTCAACAAAATGCATTGTTTTCCTGGAATAAGTGTTCGCTAATTTATAATGAAAAGTAAATTGTGTCGAAAATGTTTGTCTTTTCAACTTCGTGAATCACTTTAAGCTTTCTCTTTGTTTAATATACAAATTTGTAAACCTTGTAATTGATGTGAATGTTTTTTAATTTGTATTTTCTTCTCTAGTGTTATTGTTAATTAATTAGTTTTCAACTGAAATTGTAATTTACATTTTTACTGAAATATGTTGCGATATCACGGTTGGTTTTTTTTCCTGTATGGCCTTCTGATTAGTGTATAGTTATAGTGAACAATTTGGATTTGCCTGGGAACTTAAATCAAACTACGCTACCCCTTCTGCCGCTTCAACCCCTAATTTTTAAGAAGCTTTATCATATCAGATGATAAAAAAAGGAAAGTTTTCCCACTACAGCCCGCATTGGGCTAGAAGGATCATGGTGGTTGGCTCTCCAGTCAAGCTGGTCCCCCTCGGTCTTAAGCTGGAATATTCACAATGAAATTTTTCCTGCTATTCACAATGACAAATTAGTGCTTTAACCACTAAGCTACCGTGAAAAATTATTATAAAATAGATGATACGTTTGAAAAAAAATAATGTTTCAATGCTGATTATATTTTTGAAAATGATTTTAATATAAATGATTTCTTTTTTCATTTTCTTTTTTACTCTAATAGTCTTAACTCAAGTGTTTTTAAGACTGACTAAGAAAAAAAAGCTGACCATATGTCATAAAAATCATAACTGGTTGTGCGAATTCACCAGATGTAAAAAATGGTAATCAATTCAATGATCTATCAATATCTCAATATCAATCAATCAGGGACAATTCATTAACTTTAAGATGATATTCCTTTTAAAAAGTTGCATCGATGAAGATTATAAAATGGCGTCTAAATTTTAGAAAAAATAATAATTTAGTTTCGAAAAATGTATACCAGAATAATTTAAATTTTCTTTCTCCATTTCTACATTCTTAAACATTAACACCATTCTGCATGTTAATTTTATTTCTATCTAAGATTGTGTTTAAAAAAATTATTTTTCTCTTTTTACTCTAATAGTCTTACCTCAAGTGTCTCTGAGACTAATTAAAGAAGAAGAAGATCGAATGCCAAAAGAAGATGATTTCATCAGGTTGATATGTGACATTGTTGCCAATCCACCAGTTTTGAAAATTGGTTGGCAATTCAATGATCTACCACTATCTCACAATGAATCTCAAACAGTCAGTGGCGATACTTTATTTTTAAGAGATACGATCGATTTTAGGAGACTCTCAAGGCGTAATGCGGGCAAATACAGATGTTCTGCCCTCAACGATGAAGGACGAGGATATAGTCAGGAGATGATATTGAATATTAGTCGTAAGTAGCTGTTATATCATCTGCACTTTGTAATTGAAAAGCCCATCACGAAATATTAAGTAATAATTGCATTAAAGTCAGCTTAATATTTCTTTTATTTCAATTAACTTCTAACTAAGTAATTGGAATTTTTAAAGTTATGACTTCCTCTCATTCAATTTAGTTCCAAGCATTTTTATAATTGTGCGTTTCTGAGAACGTGTAATGTTTTAAATAAATCTTTGAGCTCAAATTAAATTATATATGGTAGAAAATTGTTTTGAGGGGGTCGAAAAGGGATAAAATTGATGTCCAGTCTCAAAAGTTTGAATATTTTATTTGTTAGTTCATGATGTAAGTTGACTGCAAATGTAAGAAATTTTTCCTAAAATATAGTCAAAATGAGAAGTTTCATAGGAAATTACGTTGAAGTACATTAAACTAAAACTTAATCTTATCGCAATCTAGAAATTATGGTCAGAAAAATTAGGTCAGAGCGCATTCAAAAGTTTGGATACCTTTATATTAATTTTGCATTTTAGGTATTTACCAAATTTCAAGAACTTCTTAAGTAAATCAAAAAAAATTCGCACAGAACTATAAAGTTTGAAACAATTTTTGCAATTGAACAGCAGCAAATGTTTGATGCAATTTTTTAATAATTAATTATTATATTTAATTGCAATCAAAATAAATTTATATTTGCATGGCATACAAATTTTTGCGTCATTTTAACAGATATTGAAATAAAAAAAAATATAAAATTTGAACAAATATGAATTTTTAACTTTAAAATTCGAATTTTTTAAATAGCAAAGTATAAAACTTGAACACAATCAGTCTAAAAGTGTTTCTTATATTTATTTCTAAATTTACATTTCAACATTTAATACTTTTTTGATTTCACTTAAATGTAAAGTCTTCAACGCGTATTTAATTTAAGTAGGAAACAATTGACTGAATTTTTAAAAAATTCAAATTATTTAACAAAAATAATTAATATAAAACGCCTTAACTATTTAGTTTTGGTTTAACTTTTTGAACAATTAATTATAGTTTCCAAAATATATATTTGATGTGTCTACAAACTTTGTAAAAAAAAATATTTTATGAAATATATATTTAAAAATATTTTAGACACACTTTTGGTTAAATTATTACAGTGAGTTCTAGAAAATACATTGATAGAGGATTAATAACTAAAAAATCAAACATAAATTGTAACCATTTCACATATTTTCGTCATTAATTGCGAACCTATAATGTTATTCAAAACGCATATTCATAGTTAAAAAATATTGCAAATTAAAATAAATATTTAGGAAACGATATTTTTAATTTTGTTTCAGACGCACCTGTTTGCAAAGAAAATCAACAAATTACATACGTAGTCGGACTTAACGAAAGTGTAATTGTCAGGTGCGAAGTCGAAGCTATGCCTACTGATGTCACTTTTAAGTGGGAATTTAGCAACACTGTTCGTAAACATTATTATCTTCAACACGTCAGTGAGGGAGTTGTTAGTAACGCCACCTACCGGCCTATGAATTTAGCAGATTATGGAACTCTTTTTTGCTGGGCAAACAATAGTATTGGTCATCAACAATCATCTTGTTTCTTCACAGTAATAGCACCAGGTATTTGTATTTGATTTGCATTGCTGTTATTATAAGTTAAAGATAAGATAGAAAACGTGGTATACAATAAAACTAAATGAGCCCATAGATGATCTACATTTTGACAAAGTAGTTGGTTAACATCTATTGTAATGGCCACGCATAGTTTAAATAAACGCATTGGTAACATATGGTTGAGAATTAGTTAAGCAGTCAAAAATAGTTCTGATTATCTTAAATGTCACAGATGATTAAAATCAGGGTAGTGGAGATTCAGATTGTCGTAATGGTTTAAAGTTTCGTAAGTTTGGATAAAGTTCATTTCCATTAAATTAAAATGTCATTTTCCTCCTACTTGCTATAATTATATTAAACATCTCCAAATTTATGTTTCAAACTAATACAAAAAAATTATTCTTTTTGCGTTATTTCTACATTTTTAGGAGCAGTTTTAAAATAAATAAATAAATAAATAATTAGGAAGTTGACCATAAAATATTTGAATAATACTTTCAAAAAAAATTTAATCTGCAATATGCTATATTTCTTAGAAAACGTGCTTCTATCCCGAAAATATACTTCCCTTAAACATTTTTTTTATTCTTTCTGCGATTAACTTCTGTGATTGACTTCTGTGATTAACATTTGTATTGAAACAATAAAGAAAGTTATGCAGGTTTTCCTTTACTCTGTATACATTTTACTTTATTACTTTTCATCATTTATTAATGATTTCGGAAATTTAGTACACATTATTATATCCATGCTAGTAATTATTTTATAAAGCAGCCCGCTTTTATAATATTACTTTCTTTTTTACAATATTGGTAAGTCTATAACTTTTTTTTTTCTTACAGAAATATTTCAACTTCGAGTTACTTTATTATTTAAGTGTAATAAGCATGATTTCAAAATATCATATTTGAAAATTTTTTAACAATTGTTGCAGCTTGTAAAACAGATAAGGCTAATGCTAATGCATCAACATCATCAAGGGGTAAGAACAGTCTTTATAAATTTCATAAATATTTAATTAAAAAAATTTTATTGTGATATTTAACACTGTATAAATCACCAGATTTATACACAATAATATTGGTTAAAATATTGAACTAAAATTTACAACTCGGACATATTGTACCGAGAACTGGAGTTCGCTTGGTTTGGAAATAATAAATCAGCCCTTAAGACTTCGAAATTTTATTAGCGGCAACTCCCAGAAAGTATAGCGATTTATAGCCTTCCCTTACATGTCAAATAATAGCATAATAGTGCAAAACACAGGATTCATAACCTCCGACGGGTCAATAAACTAATTTGGATCAGATCACTACTGTATAGTCAGTCACAAGCAGACTACTCTCTCTTACGGAAATACGGAAATAAATAGCCTATACGAAATGCCGAGCATAGGGCTCTCACAAAATAAGATGAAAACTAAATGTTTTGTTTTGACTTATTTAGATTAATAGTGTTTCCTAGTAAGGACTACTTTCTTTTCAGAGGCTCATTCGATTTATATAAGCTTGGCTACAAAATCTCTGAACTTTGGACACGATTTTAGTCGATTCTTGCAAAACTCATATCGCCACGATTTTTGCCAAGCAGAGTCATTTATTGGAAATATATGAGACGTTATTTTCTCTCGAAATTAAATTAAAACTACGCAATTTTTTTTGTTGTCCTTTTTCTTACTAAAATTTTTTAACATTTACGGATCAGTCTGAAGTGAGATATTTAGCCACATAAATAAAGAATATTTACTAAGTTAGACAAATATTTAAAAAATCGTTGATTATTGCTATATTTTATAATATTATCTGTAATATATGTATGCATGAATTTAGCATATGATTCACAGTTATATCAATTTAATTTACTATGCTATTATCAGACAATTTATTTATTTATTTTACATTTAAGTGGTTTTTCTATTTAATGCTTATCTGCATTAACTGCCAAACTGCAAAGTGCTTGATTTTTCGTAGAAGATGTAGAGAGTTTGCAAGGTTACAAAGATTCGGATTTCACAAAATGAAATGACGAAATCGAGCGTTTCCAAACTATAGGTTTGGCGTTTAGAAAGTAAACATATTATCCACTCCAAAACAGAAATTACTAGCATAACCTAATTTTAACATTTTTTTGTTTGCTCTACGTAGGCATTAATTACAACTGTATTGCATTGCTGCTCATACGTTTTTATAAATATTTATTTGTCTAAGGATTTATGACAGAACAAGTTAGAAAATATCATCGAGCAAAAACGAAGTAGTTGAACCAGTAAAATGGCAAGAGGAAAATACTGTAACTTTGAGTTTTAGAAGCATTTTATTGGCCTATTTAACAATATAATTTTGTCATTCTGACCGACATTTGATTTTTCGTAGTAAGGATTGGGACTTCGAGTTATGTCTCAGTGGTTCGATGTCTGCTTTAATGGATAATTCTCAATCGATACTTTTAGAGCCGAATAAATTCACGTATGGTTAGGCGATAGGGGAGATTCGTGGTGCCCATAACTCGTAAATACTAATACCATCTGCACTCTGATCAAAATTATAGTTATGCAGATAATGCTGATCCATAATGGTGATCCAGTATTGCCTCTGGATCACTATTAAAGATGAACACTTAACTGTTGGTAAGAAACGATTATGATAACACAAGTTTTAAAATTATGTATTCTAATTCGCGTCCTAAGTAAACATTCACATCAAGGTTATTTTTAGTTAGCAAAATAAGTTTTTCAAGCAATGTTAATATATTTTTAGATCCACAGTTGCAGTAAAATTAATTGAAATCTCATTTCATGCCTCTTTTTTATTTTATTCTTTCTTAAATGATTGATATGTAATATTTATTGCCTCAAAGTTGATAACGACATTTTTTGTTGAACTTGAAAAACTTCGGAAATTAGAAAAACGATAATTTCATAAAATTGCTTTGAAAAAACTGTTTATCAGTAAAAAATCGTCATACTCTTATTGATTCCAAGGAGTCTTCATTATTTTTGGCAATATGCACAAAATTAAAATTAAAAATATGCTGTGAACTAAAAACAAAAAAATTAATGGCAAAACGGTAATAACCTCTTAAGGAAAAACGTGAAAAATTGCCAAAATATTATTAACTCCAATGATGCTAAATTAATTTTGGTAATATATGTACTAACTGAAACAAAAAGTATTAAACTGAACTGTCACTGAATAATATGAAAAACTGAATATAGGCACAATGTGTTACATTAATATATTTGATACCAATTAAAACTGCTTCAAAACTGGAAAGTTTTAATATAGACACTATGAAAAGAGGTTTCTATGATCCTTCTAAGTGGGGGTAAAGTACAATTGAAAATCATGTGGTTGTGTTATATTTTTACTGTCTTTTGAAATAGTCTCGAGCAACAGCATCTTGCCAAATGATTCAAAATAATAATATAGTTGAACTTAATTTCATATATATTATATATATCTTGAAAGTATATAAATATCCGTAAAATACTTTTAATTTCAATAATGCGTTTATGAGCAACTAACTATTTTAAATTGTAAATTAGCTAGAATAGAATGATATCCGTCTGATTAAATTAAATTAGCTTAGAAAATAACTTAAAAGGTTTTAATATTTTACGGAATTTGGAATACGCATATTTTTTCATTAACGATAAGTATAATATTTTTTATGATATCTTCATAAAAATAAAATAAAGATTTTTTAATTTTTTTATATCTTTGAAACTCTCGATTTAAAAGCATATCTTTCAAAACTCTGTAGGAGATATCTCTTTAACCAGATTATAGTAAAAGTTGCATAATTAAAACTGATACATTTCGTAAATTTTTTTAAATATCAGACAAGAAGAAAAAAATTAATGAAAATTGTACTTTTGGTTTATTGTCTGAAATGCATTAAAATAAAATAAAATGTTCTTATAACTTGTTAATAGTTAGCAAAGTATAGCGTTTTTAATACTTATTAGAAAAATACATAATTTTTAGATGAACTTTGTAATTTCAATGTCTGAATTATACAGAAATATTGATTGTCTAACTGTTAGTTCGTATTAAGCAGGTTGACTCAAGAAATATACAAATTAAATCAACTTACATTTAAAATAACTTGCAGTTAAAAAAAGAATACAAGAAATAGTTGTATTTATGAAATTAAGGTTTATTTTGGTGATGTATTTATTGTCATCGCGATATAATCATAATAAGTTCGTAAGTAAAGATGTAAAAAGCACAAAAAATAATCGGACCACCCTTAATTACTTTTGATCTAATGATCGGATCTTCACGTTCTAGGACTGATTTTAAATGGTTCGAAAAGGTGATCTCAAGTATGATGATTTATAAGTGCAGATGATATTTTAAGTAATGAAAACAGGCAAGAAAACGTACTTTCTCGGAATAACGCAACTTTATTTTACTTATTATAATTTTTGATCTTCAAAGTATAGGTAATCAGGGAAATATGGTTCCTAAAGTTTGCTAAGGAAAGCGGTTAATAGCTTGAACCCCTTAATATTAATTTTACTTTGTGCGAATTTCGCCATATCTCCCAAACCTTTTAAGTGAATTTAAAAAATTCTGAACTCAATTCTAAAATTCCCTTAGCCAAAAGTAATTCCTATGCGCAATGCGCAAAAAAAAACTTACCACCTGAATAACTTTTGATCTAATGATTGAATCTTTACGTTCTAGGACTCATTTTAAATGGTTCGAAAGAGTGATCTCAAGTATGCTCATTTATAAGTACAGATGATATTTTAAGTAATGAAAATAGGCAGGAAAACGTACTTTCTCTGAATAGCGTTTTTCTTTTATTACTTCTTATGATTTTTGATCTTCAAAATAGTAATACGGTAATAAAAATAGGTGGTAGTCGTAATCAGGGAAATATGGTTCCTACATTTTGCTAAGAAAAGCGGTCAATAGTTTGGATTCCAAAGTATTAATTTCATTTTTGAGTTCTTCGTTAACCCTTGAAGTGAATTGAAAACTTTTCGAACGAAATTATGAAATTCGTTTATCCATAGGTAATTGCAGACAGAAAGTATCTTTTAGTAAATATTTATTAATTTTTATTATTTTATATAAAAATAGTCGAAACATTTTTGAATAGTAAGATATACATATTTTTATATTATTTTAAAGAATATACTTTTTAATGCCAAAATACAAAATTTAGACGAAAATGGTGGAATAGTTTTTGAGGTGGAATAGATTTAATGTAGGATTTATTTCTAATTTGATTCTCAGGAACTACTCTAACAAGACGCTACGCTATTTTAAATTTTGTATTTTGCTACGTAAAATGGCACTTTATAAAATAATGTCTTACAATTCAAGCATTTCACAACAATCATTGAACAAAATAATAAAAAAATAAGTATTTACTAAAAGTTTTTTTTATGGAATTAACATTGGGTAAACGGATCTTATAATTGTTTGCAAAATTTCTCAGTTCACGTGAAAATTTGCGAAATATAGCAAAACTCAAAAATTAACATTAAATAATAAAAAAATAAATAAAATTAATATCCTGACCAAACCATTCTGACAACATTTGCGGCTACCCCCTCTATTTTGGGAGTCAGAAATCAGAATCTGTCGAAAAAAGTTGCGTTTCTGCAGAGAAAATACGCTTTCTGCCTGAATTAGTATGTTAAAAGGACATCTGGATTTATTAATTAGCCTATTTGAGGTCTAACCTTCAAACCCTTAAGATTGAGACCTAGAACGTGAAGAACCGATGATTAGATGAAAAGTTATTCATAGTGCTTCATTTTTTTCGCAATGTAAGCTACAAAAACATTCTGTTTCTCTAGCTGTACTCTAGGTATAGGTATCAAGGCATTTTATACAGTTATGTATTTGAGAAAGATACATAACTCTATCAAATATATGAGATAGAGGAAATGAGAGTGGATTCTCGCCACATGTTGAAGGAATGGAAGAAATTCATAGGCATGAAAAGGGTAGTGCAACCCCTATGCTGTGCTGTATTGCAACCCCTATGAAGTTATTTAGCTCACTTAAACTGAGTATGTAATTTATCTGAAAGGTCTAAGATAATCTTATAATTGTCTGAATGAAGATTCAATTCCCAGCGAAGATACCACGATATTTCCTCTATTCCTTTAACACGTAAGGAGTTTCCATTCTTCTGCTCTTCACATATCCATAAAGGCTAACATTCTCTCTCAATGAAGTAGTTTACAAATAAATAAAACATAAATTAAGTTGAATTAAAACTATTCAAGTTATAAATAACGGGATACGATGCAAAATATTCTTTATCAAATCGTGTTAATTCGTTAAAAAGAAGTCATCAACACGATCACGATTTAACTAAATCTACCAATTAATAATGAGAAACTTTAGTAATTTCGCAATTTTTTTTCAACAAAGGATATTTTCATTTCTTTTTACCTCTTCTGCAGATGGAAGTGACAGTATATGGCAACACTCAGCAATCACAGCTGGAGCTGGTGTCGTTATCTCCATTCTCATCATCTCTGTAATATCTGCCATTTACTTCAGAAGAATGTACATGGAGAAAAAGAACAGGCCTATGGGAGTAAGTATAAAGATATTATTTTTAGAAAATCCTTCAACGTTTTGTTCTCGTAACGTTTTGTATGTGGATGACATATACCACACTCAATGAAAATTAAAGAGTTGCCTCATGCAGTAAGGAGAAGGGAAACACTAAACTTAGAGAAAATTTTAGAAAAGCACTAGAAACATTTCCCAAAAATTGGCCATTTTCAGACATAATTGTGGGGTATACCACATTTAAAGTAAATTAAGTAGTATCCCGCATGCAGAGAAAATTCAGGGAAGATGGTGTCACCAAATTTTAGAGTGGATTAAAGGAATGCTATATTCAGAGAAAATTAAACGATATACTTCATCTAGAGAACGTTAAGGGGAATCTCACGTCTGACTATAATTCTGAGGATACCACATTTGTATGGAACTAAGGGGAATTCATTATTCAGACAAAAATTAAGGGGGTATGACGATTATTGAAGACAACGGGGGTGCAACATTCACGAAAACGGAGAGGCTGCTACACATACCACATTATACTACATCCCCCTTGCCACAAAAGAATACCACATTAGGAGAAATCAAGGAGGGGATTAAAGTATACGTTAAATGTGACGTAAATAAGAACAATATTTGGTTTCAATCGCCTCTTGATACATTTTTCTGGTTAATACTAGACGATTTGTTGTTATGAGAGAAAATGCTTATGATATAATTTATTCTATTTCCGTTTCCATTTTTTATTAAATTGAAAAATAATGAGTTAAAAAGGACGAATACCTTCACGAGGCTAGTGTTAAGATGTAGATGCAAGGGCTACTGTGAGTGTCAATATTTACCTTAGTGTAAAAGTATTGCAAATTAATTGCATATTCATCAATTACTATAGTATTTATTTATTAAGAATAGTAGGTTCATTTCGTGAAGCATTTATATTACGTATTTCTATTTTTTCAACTTTTAATCTTTAATTAAAATTTTTTTATTAATTTTAGAACGGTGAAAAATTGCAGAAAATTATGCTTTAATGCATTTGAATTATTTTCTTCTTTAATTAAAACGTTTATTAGTTTTTGCATTTTGATGTTTTTAGAAGCTGTAAATTAGAAAATTTCGAAACTATTTTAATGATTCGCCAACATTATTAATGCTATCTGTCTTTTTGCTGGCGTTTAATTTCTAAATACTTCTTCAAACAAAAACAAAATCTCTCTTAATTTATTTAATAATACTTTTCAACTAAATAAATATTAAGAATAGATTGTCCACTTTTTAGCTTATCTTTAAAACTAATTTTTAATGAAGATGTGATGTATTTTAAATCTTGTTTTGTAAAGATTAAATCAATTTCAAATAAACATTGTTAGGAAGTTTCGTATTATAACTTGTTTTCAGTGTAAAAGTATTTCGTTTAAGCACTTTCTTACTTGTTTTATTTATTTTTTAATTATGATAAGATTTAATTACTTATCTTTCTGTAAATGTATCCAACCGAAATTCAGCATCCAACCCAATTGTTCGGCTTGCGGCAGCAAATGTTATTCTTCAACCTAGAAAAAAGGAAACTTCTAAATCAATTGTAATTTATTATAGAGAAATTAATTTATTATGAAGAACGGTATTTTCGTTACTCGAAGAGGAAAGCCACGGAAACCTCCCTCGGTTATGTATCCATCAAAATGAATTTTTATTTTTTATTTTTTTAGACACTCTCATATTATTTGTGCATAATGTGCTGGCCGGCACACTGCGAAGAGAAATATGGTTAAAACTACCTGAATATGCAAAATTTATTATTTTTCTTGCTCTATAGGAACGCCTAAAACCTCAGAATTTAGTTATGATTTTGGTAAAATTAGCAAAAGAATATGGTTTTATAATGTGTGATAAACGTTAGTAAATATGATAAATTTGGTAATTTTTTCAAGATACCACAGAACACTAAGTAAAAAGATTTTATTCGATTGCATTCAATTTTCAGTTTTGTATTTTTGACTAAATATATGGTAATAAGAACAAAAATTTTGTAAATCGGAATTTCTGGCAAACCGTTTACATAGGATCGGAAAAATTACCACACGTATGGTTTAAAATCAGTATATTTTGCTTTCAATAAGCAGAATTATGGTTTTCAAGCCAGAAATGTCAAAACCATAAAGTACGGTAATTATTTTAAATTAAGAATATTGTAGAAATCTTGCATATAATTCGCATTCGAGTTTTGAAAAAACTACAAATAACGTAAGCAATATAAATAAGTATCAGAAGCAAACATGTCTTCTTACGAATTAAACTTGGATTGAAATAAAGATTAATCCTTGCATGTCAAGGTTCCGTATGAAGCTTGCAGACAGGGTAGAAAAAGCATTCACAGTCCGTTGTGGGTCAGAAGGGTTAATAGAGGATAAAGCTCCACAATTTCGTGTTCAACAACATGATTGTGACAATGTGGACAGCATTGCGTATAGGCCAGACAAGGTTTACTCTTTAAATAATGTAGGAAAAAATAGTAAAGCCTCTGACCATATAATATCTATTTCTAGTCACATTAACATTATAAATATTTGAGTTTTTTCGCATTCGTTAGCAATATTCAATTTATAACTGTCATAAATAAAAAAAACAGTTGCAAAGTTCGAAGCTAAATTGAAATCAATCGATGAAAATATATATCTAAGAACGCAATTCCAAAATACATGCGCCCACCAAAAAAATAGACTTCAAGAACAAGTAGTCTCAGCAATTGTTAAGTTTCACCCTTGAGAAAGCTTTGGGCTCGATATTTTTAGAGGAAATAGTGCAAGTAAGAAGCTTGTTATTTTCCTTTTTTTTCCCTTAAAATGCGCTGTTCTGTTTCGACGATGTAACAAAAATTATCCGAGAAATATAAAAAAAAATCTTGAATGACTTCGTATCATTTCTTAGATTGGGTAAAATAATGTATGGTAAAATAAGTAATAAATTTCTACATTAATTTGTTTGCGTGGCAATATCAAAACACTTAAACGAAAAACAAAAGATTGAAAGAAAAGAAAAAAAAATCCATTGGAACTGAACAAAATTTGAGGTATAAGAGATGTTTAAATTTGAAACAAATATATTTTCTTTATTTATATTTTGCTGAAACATGATTCCATTTAAGTTAAGGTCTTAAGAAAACAAAAAGCTGTAGCTATCTATATGCGTGTAAAGAATAATTCTTGCATTTTTTTCTTAAGTAAAATATCTAACTTGTTGTGATGTAAATAGTGATAGTCGAAAATATTCCATTCAATAAAAGTTAGAGTTAAATGGAATTGAAGCTCTATTTAAAATGATTTACTATTATTAAATGATTTACAAATATTGTATGATTGATAATGAAAGTGAAATATTTATTTTTAATTTATTGTTCATTTGTCCACTCTTAAAATTAGGAAAGAAACACAAAATTGTAGTAAATTCACGTTTGTGACACGTACATATTGACAAAACTTCTATCTATTTGTCCGTAGATAATTGATTTCTTTCCTTAATAATTCCTTCCTCGCTGTGGTAACGTATAATAACTACTCTAATAACCTAACTAATCTAAGCGAACAGTAACAACTTTAAAAATTATACACGGTTAGAAATTTTTTCGGAAAAAATGGTTAAATAACAATTTATTTAATTGTTAGTTTTCCACATTCAAACAAAATTGTCAAATAACCATAAATAAGATGGTATTAAGAACTGTAAACTGTGAGAAAAACCGCTAATTAATTGCTTTCACCTAATACTGTTATACAATCAGAATTTTATCGTACCAATTAAGTCCACCTTATGAAGTCCTTTCAGCTGCTTGGATATTAAAGCCGAGAAGGCTAATCTGTCAGTTTCATGGCCAAGAGAACAGGGGTTCGAGTCCCAGAGTTGACAACGCATTATTCTCTCTATTCTCTTCAACACATGAAAAATTTCTAGTGTCCCGCATTCTTCAATGCTTATGACCTAACAAAAAGCCTACCTCCAATGTCCAGTCAATTTCTTTTTTAATGGTTTTGAAATCATACTAGTTATAAAAAAAAACAATTAGTTTTGCATTCATGGTTTTATAACCATATTAGTTGCAAACGGTTTCAAAACCATAAGGGTAAAAAATGTTCTTTAACGTGAACTTTACTGTTAATTGAATGGAAATTCATATTTTAGAATGAACATTCTAATTGTGTATTAGATGAATCAACCTAACCGAAAATCATAAATGTTGGTAAATGTCTTTTATAAATTTCAAGGATCCAGTTACAGACAGTCATAGTTGATTTTTTCGAAACTGTAAGAGACTGATTCTACAGAAAATACTGCACTGGTGATTCACGTATGCATTAAAAAGTAACTCTCTAAAATATTTGTAAAATTTGTCTTTGAATTTTATTTCTATTTGTCTATTCTATAAAATGATGCATAAATATTACCTATTGGCAAAATGGGTCTCGTTTTGAGTTTGATGGCGTGCACGCTTTATTTGGACGTCATCGCACTTTTCAAATGTGTTCAAAAGTGATAGTGAACAGTGCGCACGCGTCATTACATGCGTTGCAATAGCGACCGCTGCTGTTAGATAATTTTTTTTTAGAATTCTTTCTTTTCTTTTTATTTTCACCAGCAGCCATTCTTAATGTATTTACATAATAATAATTTAAAGTATTTTTATATTCCTTTTATTATTAACTTATGATTACTGTCTTGACTGTGCTTTTAATATAAATATGAATACTGAAGAAGGAAAAGCATTTTGTGACGTCTTTAAACACGTACATAGCCATAATTTGAAAACAAATCCGACGACATACATCAATTGAGACAGTTTTGAAGTGTTATGGCGCTTATCAGAGTCAAACCAGAAGAAAAAAAAAAGCATTTGACCAATGGGTAACCAGTGATCTTAATAAAGTGATCACAATTCTTTTCTGTTATTGTTATTATTATTATTTTTTTTAGTTTCTTTAAATTAAACTTTTTTCTCCATATTTGAAAGAAATTTTAATCACCGTTGTTTTAGGC